CATCATGACTCTGAAATTTCCCGCTCTAGAGTTTCAATGGTTAGTAGCTAGTGTAAGCCCAATTCCCGTATGGATCACTAGGGAATAATTGTGGCCCAAGTGTAATTATCACTTAATGATTTAATATATAAGGTAAGTCATATATTGGTTAGGTTAATGAAAAATGTAATTTCCTAATATACCCTGATGGTGAGTCTATATAAAGAAACCCTAGGATTGGTCCTCTCTCAACCCATTACGTAGAATTTCTTAGCCGTCATAGAAATCTCTAAACATAAAACCTAAAGGGGTCAAGAGGGAGAAACTCAATTTCGGTGATTACTACTCAAGCCGCCGCCGCCGCTCTCGTCATGGATCGAGGTAGGTTTCCTTGATCTATTATATTACCGATTCGTGAAATCATCTAATTCTAAGATCCATGCTATTATGATTTATGTTTAACATGTGGTATCAGAGCCTTAGGGTTTATATGAATGGATGATTTTCGATTATGTATTATGCTCGATTAGTCTCCGCTGCGTTTATATCAATCGCTTATGCATGATTAAAGCTTGTTGATGCTTCTGATTGATCATCTGTTTATTCTATTGAGTCCACGCGTTCGAGATTTGTACACAACTGTATTTAACTTCTTTGAGGTTTGGTCTTCTGTCTGTCGAGCAATTATTCCCCGTTTATCAAGAACATATATATGTGCAGTGCATGTATGTTTATGCTTACATGATATATTGATATGTTTGTTTCCTCAATTATAATGAATTGCGATGACAGTATCTTGCCTTTATTTCCTTTTCAACTAAAAATCATGATAAAAGCAATTAGGGATGATTACAATTGCTTTTGTATATGCGTTCGATTAATTAAGAGTTTGGGAAGGTTGATAAAGCCTTATGTTTGTCTCAATGATGATTAATATTGTTTTCCCAATAGTAACAGTATGCAATTGGAGACTCAAGTTTTGGGTCTGCGTATTTCAAAGCATTATTAACAACTGTCTTACCTTAAGTTAAAATTTTACATTTGATATCTACTTTATGATTAATTTGTTAGTCACCAAAGTGGCCAAATTAGAAGGTTTATAGATATCAAGTTGAATAAAGTTCAACTGCTAATTTTTATGTGATGCTTTTAAGTTGAAGTTCGTGATTATAAAATATTTTGAATCGCCCAAAGGTTGATTGCTCGTTTTATAATTCATGAACATTATCGTGGTAAATTGATATGCTTGGTTAGATATATTTAGTATATACAAAGATTGCAAGTATATCCAATTTGAGTATGTCTATCACCAATTATATGATTATTTTGAGTATCAATTACGATTATTTATCGCATATATATTGTTGTTTTTCCCAAAGGTAGCACCAATATATATTTTATGTTTATGCTTCCAAATCAGTATTATAGTTTATGCTTATTACCCAAAGCATTAATGTGTGAGTACATGTTATATATGTTTGCAGCATCTGTTCCTGTTTCTCTTCATTCGCAAGCCACGTCTGTTGTTAAGTTTAATGGCCTCAACTTTTCTGATGGGCTGAACAGGTTCAGTTTCACCTCGGTGTTCTGGATCTTGATTTGGCACTCTTAAGTGAGAAACTTGCTGCTCTTACTGATGCTAGCAGTGCTGAGGAGAAGTCTTTCCATAAAGCTTAGGAAAGATCTAACAGACTAAGCCTAATGTTTATGCGAATGACTGTAGCAAACAACATTAAGTCAACTTTCAATGATACTGAAAGTGCTAAGGAATTTATGAATTCTGTAAAAGAAAGCTCTCAATCTGAGTCTGCTGATAAGTCGCTTGCTGGGAAACTGATGGGTACGCTAACCACCATGAAGTTAGATGGTTCTCATACCATGCATGAGCATATCGTGGAAATGACGAATATTGCAGCAAGACTAAGGACCATGAGAATGTAAGTGAATGAAAATTTCCTAGTAACGTTCATCCTTAATTCCTTACCTCCAGAGTATGGCACATTCCATGTGCATTACAATACTCTAAAGGATAAATGGAATGTGCATGAGTTACAAAGTATGCTCATTCAAGAGGAAGCAAGGCTTAAGAAACCAGAAAATCATTCTGCCAATCTTGTTGGTCATAAAGGAGCTGGAAAGAAACCATGGAACAAGAATGGGAAGGGAAAGGAAGGACTATCAAAGCTTAATGAGTCATCTGCCAAAATCCACAAGAAGGAACCAAGTAAGGATATATGCCGCTTTTGTAAGAAAGTCGGACATTATCAGAAAGATTTCTTGAAAAGAAAGGCATGGTTCGAAAGAAAGGGTAAGCCTAGTGCTTCAGTATGTTTCGAAAAATAAAGTGATTAAGTAACTTATTTGGACCACAATCAATGTTGTAGTGGCAGATATTTTCTTTTTCTATTTGACCGCTAGTCAAGTGGATGGAAAATTGGATGGATACACAATTTATAAACTTTCATTGTATCGCATGCCCTATTTTCACTTTAGTGGTATCCTTCCCCCAATTTTCAAAGTTTAGAGGTATGAGAAGTATTTCTCCCTGGATATTTATTACTAGAAGTGACCAAGGTAAAGAGTTTCAGATGGATGATTTCTTCTACACAAATCGCATTTCATGAACTCTCTTGTGTTAACCCCTCAACAAAACAACAAGGTTGAAAGAAAACATAAACATATCCTTGTTGTTGCAAGAGCTCTTAAATTTAAGGCTAATCTCCCGCTGATTTTTGTCAGGATTGTGCCAAGCATACAGTATACCTTATAAACGGAGTTCTTACAACTGTTCAAACACCTTTTGAGAAGCTTTGGGGGGGGGGGGGGGAACAGACTACACAAAGTTGAGAGTGTTTGGTCGCTTGTGCTTTGCTAGTACATTAAGCAACTAGAGAGCCAAATTTGATCCTCGATCTATAAAGGGTGTTTTTATAGGCTTCACTATAGGCATGTAGAGTTACAAAACTTATGACCTCACAAATCATGAGGTTTTCACTTCTGGGGATGTCCAATTCTTTGAAGACCACTTTCCCTTTAAAAAACCAGTCACAAACAACACAACCCTACACTCAAACAAACAACCCTACTCTTTTTGATGAACTCAGTCCCTCGTATAAACTAAACTCGCCTCTATATCCACCTTCTAACCCTGAATACCTCCTTAATGACATCCACTTTACCTCAGACACGAAAGTCACTCCCTCATATACTAACCAAAATCATCCTCACCACCACCACCCATCAAAAAGTACACAAGAGTAACCAAACCCCCTCCAGGACTCAAACTATACCATTGTAACATGCTTTAGCAGATTTATTCAACCAATCATCCTCCAAGACAACATACTCGAGTTATCACATACCCTATATCTTCTATTCTTGACTATAGCAGCCTGTTTCCCACTCATAAACAATTTGCTTTATGCATTTCCACTGTAAAGGAACCAGATATTTATCATGAAGCTATACTCTCATATCAATGGAATGCTGCCATGAAAACTAAAGTCAAAGCTTTAGAAGCAAATCACACAGGTGACATTGTTGAGAAACCTACAGACAAGAAAGCAATTGGCAACAAATGGGTCTATCGACTCAAATTCATTCATGATGGCAGCATTGATAGGCACAAGGCCATATTGGTTGCCAAAGGTTACAACCAACAGGAAGGGGTTGATTATCAGGACACATTTGCACATGTGGTCAAGATGACCATCATTAGACTCTTTCTGGCTATTGATGTTGTGCAGAATTGGCATGTCCACCACCTTGATGTTAATAATGCATTTCTCCATGGTGATTTAGAACAAGAGGTCTACATGAAGCTTTTACTTGGCTATACACCTCCTCCTGGTTTGAAGAACCCTATTTGTCACCTCAAAAAGTCACTCTATGATCTCAAACAAGCCTCCAGACAGTGGTTCTCTCAGCTTGTTGACATGTTGCTTTCTCGGGGTTACGCATAGAGCAAAGCAGACCATCCCTTTTTCACAAGGCAACTGCTACTTCTAAATTGACAGTTTGAAGTCATATTTGCATCATGAGTTTAGCATCAAAGACTTAGGTGCTTTGAAGTTTTTTATTTATTTTTTGTATTGAAGTTTCCAGAAGTCATACATGTATTCACATTTTCCAAAAAAAAAATTACACTCTCCAAATCCTAGAAGAAGCTATCTACTACCCACAATAATCCCTTTCCAGAGTCTGAAACACTTGGTTGGCAAACTCATCTACTTGACCACCACTCGCCAGACATCAGTTTTGCCACCCAACAGGTGAGCCAGTACATGTCTAACCCAAGTCAAGATCACTTCAAAGTTGTTCTTTGTACCCTCGTATACCTCAAGAGTGCACCTTCCAGAGACATTTTCCTCTCTTCTTCCTCGACATTGCAACTCAAGCCTTTAGATACTCGAATTGGGCGGCCTATGTTGATACCAGACACTCCATCACAACCTATTCTTCTCTTTCTTCTTGTGAAGTTGAGTACAGAGCTCTAGCATACACATCTTGTGAAGTCCAGTGGCTTCTTTACCTGCTCCATAACTCTCAGGACAACCAATGTGTCATTTATATTGCAGAATGAACCAAACATATAGAACTTGACTGTCACTTTGTTCGTGAGAAGTTGCTTGCAGGAACCACCAAGGTTCTCCACACCTCAACTGCTCACCAGCTCGATGACCTGTTCACAAAGCCTCTTCCTCCCACAACCTCTTCTCCAAACTTGGTGTGCTCAATTTGTGGCCACCAGCTTGCGGGGCGGGGGTATTAGGGAAAAACAATAGTTTTTGACAGCAAGTTAAGTTCAAACACTCATCAGTGAAAGAAGTGACCGTTGCATTACCAATGAAGCTGGAGTGACGTCATTTCAGGCAAAATGTCATTTAGTACCCCATGTTCTTAATTTGTATCTTTTCCTTTTTCATCACGTACTTACTTCACTCTCAAGCTTTGTTTTCTTCTCCAAAACTGTCTGAAAGTGCAAACCCCAACAATTTGGTTCTCAAGACACTACATTATTATAAGAAGAGTACTCGAAGAAGGAACATCATTATATTATTGCATATAAGATGAAGGATAAAGAGGAATAAACATACGCTGCTGCTGTTGTTGAACAAACCGAGGAGACAAAATTACCCAACAATGCAAAATGGTGGGTGGGACAAAATTACAACATAAGCAATACCAACTTGTCGTCGTTTGCTTTGTTTCCTTTGTGTCTCTAAAGCCATAATAATCATCATATATAATTGCACAATACACAGAGAAGAAGCTAATTTACAAAATATTGGCACAAAAGCGTGGCGGTCGCATTGTTGTTGCCATGTTTGCCTCGTGAGATATAGCGTTACATAAAACCCATTTTTGTACAGTTTGGAGTCCCTTCCTTCCTTTCTGTTTTCCTTTTTCTGGTCCAGTCACTGGAAGGGAGTGGTGATGCTGGGGGAAGTGCGCTCAGTTGGCGAGCCAGGGACGAAGGGAACGAACCCCCGGCCACCGAAGACGGGCCTCATGAAGGCGTTGTCAAACTTGCGCCAGTAGTAATGGACTGTGTGGGTTGGGGTGGTGAGCAGGGCTCGCAGTCTGTTCCCGCCGTTGAGGTCCTGGTGCGCGAAATCTTCCAGCGAGTCCTGCCCCTCGCCCAGGAAGGGCACCGTGATTGATTTCGGGGAGCCAGCATGGGAGGATACTGCTGTGCTCGGCTGGCTCTTCCCGTCTGGGAGCAGGAATCTTATGAGAGGTTGAGTCATCAAACCGAAGACCTGAGGAAACACCATTTAGACCTTTTAAGTACAAGGAGCAAATATCCAACATCCAAACGATCCCCTAAGTTAGGATGGCTTGTAGAGTTCCAAGTTACCATAACCCAGTAAGGAGAACTTACCACAGTGCTGAAGAGAACAACAATGATGGTGCTGGTGATCAAAATAGCATTCCCTCGCAAGTGAGTGTGCCCCCCACTGGTAAACTGCAATGGTTATGAAGCAGATAGCTTGTGAAATGATAAGGAGATATTGAAAGGTTTATAACAAACAAAAAAAGAAGCCAGTTTTTCTCCTGTGATTCTACCTTGTTATAAGCGAGTGCCATAGATACAGCACCTCTCATCAAGCCAGCCCACCATATGACAATCTAAATCAAAAACCCAGAAGTAGAAACCAAATGTGAGAGTACGGCTTTATCGAAAAATCATGTGATTCAAGAGCAGGTGGGGCAGACGGAAAGTTACTTGCTGCTTGATGTCGATCTTATCATTCGGTGACTTCTTAGATAAGTTTGATAAGAAGGACAAGGGAAACACAAAAGCTGCTCTTCCTAGCAGGACAAGGGCCAATAATACTGAACTCACAGCCACTATGGTTCCAGGGCTGCACAAGAGATCAAATACGGGTGCAAGAGCTTTAGTATATAGATTGTCAATCAAATTATGGAAGGGATGAGGCTCGATTATGGACATACCTGTCACTCACGGCGGTCCACTTCTCAATGTCCAAGGCATCCATTCCGACGTAGAGGAAAATAAATATCTCAGAAACGAATGACAAGGTTGCAAATGCATGCCTGGGGAAGAAGTGATCAGTTTCAGAATTCAATTATAAGGCAAGATAGTAACAAGAGTGATCAGATTCATTGATACAGAGAGTCACATACTTTGTCGTTACTCTCGAGCTCTCAGTCACGTTGTGCCATGTGTAATGGGACATGACAATTCCACAGAAAAATACTGTGAGAATCCCACTCAAATAGAACAACTGCAAGAGAAGTTAATGAATTAACTACCAAATCTGGAGATCATACGAGAAAGCAAAAGTGTTACGCAAGAAAATTTGGAAACAATTGTACCTCAGCAAGCATATATGAAAGATATGCCATAAGGATCATGAGAGAAACCTCCCTATCTGTTGAATGCCTGAATAATTTCAAGTATTAAGTTAGTGCAAAAATTCTTTCAACTAGCAATCGATGGCATGAAACTTGCATATTGCTGGATCTGATTTTTTTGGACATAACATACCTTCCAAAGTAGAGGGTTTTTATGATGTAAGCACTGACTAATCCAGTCTGTAAAAAGAACCAAAGGGATTGGATTTCAATCTCAACAATGTTGTCCCGAAAAGGAACAGATTAAACTGCCTGTGAAACAAATGGCAAGCAAGAGAGAGCCAGAATTACCGCAACTCCCAGCAAAGTACTTGTGACAAACAAATACAAGAAGCTGCCAATGAACTCCAAACCATTGTGCGGAGTAAGATTGACAAGATCAAAGCCCTGAAGTGCATTGAAAAGCACCACTGATGTAGCATCATTTACGACACCTTCCCCAAATACAAGACTGTAAAGTAGAGGCGTCTGATCCTGATTAAGAATCTGTAAAAATCAGATGCAGATGGTTCAGTTTTCCAGTAACAATTCTTAGTAAAAACCGGGAAGACTACAATTACAACTGGATATGCTTCTCACCTGCAATGTGCAAACAGAATCAGTTGCTGCAAATATTGCTCCAAGTGCTATGTAGTCTCCAATGTCAAGTTCACCAATGTCCATTCTGCTAAAGAACTCAATGGCTCCTGTGAAATACCATCACCAACCAAGTAAAACATTGATAATTTACGTTAAATGTCTTTCCCAGAGTCGACATCCACAAGTTGCATCCACCATTCCTATCATCCTTCTCTTTCACATTGCCTAGATAAGAAACTCCTCCATAACTAGACATACATTATGACCAAGATCTACTACCAGGACCATGCCAAAAGTGGAAAAGACACCAAATTTGCAAAAGGAGACATTTCAACTTGTAAAAAAGAGTTTGAACCCTGAATAAATCTTGGTACTTTGAATAAGATAGGCATTGGAGATATCAGGTATTTACCCAAGGATATAACGAAACAAGATATCAATGTGCCGACAGCACCAAATAGCATAATTGTGATGAAGTTCCGGAAGAACTGCTTCTTTTTCACCTGGAACCTGGAACACAAAATGGAAAGACCAGACAATGAAACACATAAAACAGGTGTCTCTCTAGCTTTAGTCCGCATTTGCTGTGATGAATATGAACTCTGCAAATCGAAGTTCCCTACCCGGCATTGAATATGATCGGCGGCAGAAGATAGATAAAGAAAAGATCCTCGCTGAACACCAAAAGATGCGAGCTTTTTCCTCCACTAACCAGCAATATCACAACCCCGGTACACACACCCTGTAGAAGCAATGAGCCATAAGATAAGAAAATAGCTAATGTTGCAACAAACCCAAAAATAAAAGCACCTTGAATTACAACCAAACCTGGATCCCATCAGCTTTTCCCCTCGAATTCCCAGATGCCTTTAAAGGAAAATGGAAAGGAAGATAAAACTCACAATTAAAAGGGCAGTAATGGACTCATTCATCCATTGATTCTCCTCCAGAAGATGGCCAATGACTATGCAAGCACAAAGCAGGGCGACGAACAAGTTCATGGAGACCACAGAGGCGTGGTCTGATGTGGAAAGCCCCTGCAGCTTGGTCGTAATTGGGTTTAGAACCTCCATTTTTGTACACCTCAATCCTTTCCCGGTTCAATTCTCCTCCTCCTCTTTCTTAGTCGAAAATGGCAATAGTACAATATACAGAAACTTTTCACACACAATGTGGTGGGGGGGAATAAATTATGATTCCTTATCGAGACAGGCGAGCAAATTTTCAAACGGAATTCCCTAATTTTTCTTCGTGTCTCTGAACCCGTCCATTCCCTCCCCCTGCTGTAACAAACAAAAGAAAAACGAAGCACCGTGAGGAAATCAAAATCCTCCAAGTTTGGTTGCTCGGAAAATCCACTCTCCGGCTCCAGACCTCTCACCTCACCTTCACATAGGAGACGAATCTTCCTCTCGCAACTGCTCCATGAAATTCGAAAGAGAGCGAATTCGACAATCTCCGCCACGAAATCTCTCGTAACAAAAGAGAACGCGATGCGACAAAGATCTCTCCGGCGAGGTGGTCGGCGGCGGACGAGCTGCTGAAGAAGAACGGCGGACGGAGCTTCAACAAATTGTAGAAGGAAATTTCGAGGGGGGAAATACTTGCTTTGTGGAGAGGGGGGGGAAAAAGCTTGGGAAGAGGGAAAAGGGTGAAATGGTTTGAAAGAATGAGCGGACGATGCGGGGGAGATAAACGTAACTAATAAACGGGGGGAAGAGATGCGATCCGTGGATAGACGGAGAGGGGAAGTTGACGGCGTGATGGGGGTGTTCTGGTTTTGTTCTGGACCGTCCGATGGCTTGACCTGGGGTGATGAGAGTTTTGCCGGGAAAATTAGTTAAGAGCAATGCGTGGAGACAGTTAGTTACCGGCACGTCTCTCTGTATTACTGTTTCCCTCTCGATTATTCCCTACCACAAGCTATTTTAATTATTGATTTAATATTTGTCTAATCGAAATTTATTAATTTTTCCTTCCTACTATTTCGATTTCCTTTGGCGTACGCAAGTCATAATCTCTAGAATAATTTTTATTTATTAATTTTTTCTGAAAAATTCTTAATGGATAATGTTTGTACCAACTAGCTCGAGGCATGAACAATAATGATTGTTGTGTGGGTCGACTCGTCATCCGTTCGTCTGATCTCGTCGGGAGGGAAGAAACCTGTGAAATAGCCGGGGTTGCCCCGGATTAAGCTCCGACGATCAAGTCAGTATATTGTCGAATGAGTTGAGAGAATAGGTAGAGAGATATGGAAAGTGGAAAGTGAGGAGAGAGAAGAAGTCCCCTCCTTTGGGGGGCTTCAAGCCCTTATATACCTGTAGCGCGTATCGCGCATCGCCGATTGTGCGCCCTACTACTTAGTCTGTGAACGGAGTATTTAGTAACACCCCCAACAATTGCCCCCCAAGCTGGTGGTGAGTCTTAACTCATCGCTAGCTTATTACTTTTTTTAAAAATCTTCGTCGGTAATTTTGGGTGGAGCCCTATGTACCCCAGTTGCCCCCCAGCTGGTGGCGCGTTTGACTGACGCGGTGCCAGCTTCTTGCGTCTTGCCCCCCAATTGGTGTATTTCATTAAGGCGTGTAGCCTTCACCCATTGTAGATTCTTCATGGAGCTCTCCTCGTCGGGGTTTTTTAATCCTCAGTTTGGAGCTCTCCTCGTCGGGGTTTTTAACCCTCAGTTTGGAGCTCTCCTCGTCGGGGTTTTTAACCCTCAGTTTGGAGTCTTCAATGCTCTTATTGAAGTCTTATTTGTGTGCTTCGTTGAGACTTATTTGTAGATCTTCGATTCTCTTATTGAAGTCTTATTTGTGTGCTTCGTTGAGACTTATTTGTAGCTTCTTCGATGCTCTTATTGAAGTCTTATTTGTATGCTTCGTTGAGACTTATTTGTAGATCTTCGATGCTCTTATTGAAGTCTTATTTGTGTGCTTCGTTGAGACTTATTTGTAGCTTCTTCATGGAGGTAGTCGAGCGCTCCCATATGTCGCTTGATTGAGTTTCTCATCTCCCATGTTGTTTGGTACGTCTTGCCTCCCATTAGCGCCATTAGCGCTCATGAAAGTAAAATATTTCAATATTTAATAATGATAGAGGGATAGAGTACTTAGCTTTAAATTGGAGAGGCGGCAGGATACTGGTTAAGTGGAATGCGCCGCAATATTTTGGCAAAAGGCGCGTATGTAGCCTACTGGTATTGTTGCTTGTCACGCGGAGGAGTGACGCGAGTTTGATTCACAAAGGGAGCGTTTTTGTTTTTTAACTTCCTTAGCCTTATTCCAAGCGCGAGTCAGTCGTGGACTCTTGCCGCGGTAATGGGCCGCGTGATGGTGCGTGTTGTTGGGCCGCGAGTTGAGCCTCTTGCAGTGCGGGCCGCGAGTAGTTGAAAATCAAACGCTGCGCCATTGAAACACAAGGCTCGCACGTAGCCTGTTGGTAATGTTGCTTGTCTGGCGGAGGAGTGACGTGGGTTCAAGGACTGGCGGCGACAACATTATTTTTGAAGAGTTCCGTGTCTGTTGGGTCAGAAGCGGCGCGGGCCGCAAGTTTGGATTTGTCGACCAATGTGACGCCCGTCACACCCGAGCGCACATTGAAGGCGGGCCGCGAGTTGAAGTTGGGCTGGGTCAGGTGACGCGAGTCCAAGTTGGAGCTGGATGAACTGCGCGTTGGGCCGGGACTAGTGGCAGTGCATACTTCAAAGAATAGTGGCGCGCATTAATTAAGAAAGAATTCTTCTGGTGTACTAGTATCCTGCTTGAATGTTGACGTAGTGGTGCGGGTTCAATTCCTGGCGGCGGCGATAATATTTTTGAAGGGTTCCGTGACTGTCGAACGCGTGGCTGCGAGTTGGGCCGCAAGCTTGGGCGGTAGAGTCACGCGGATGATTATGAAGCGGGGCCGCGAGTGGTGGGCTCATCTTCTATGAGTGTGCCGCGAGTCGGAGAAGCGAAGCTTTAAAATGGCGCGCTGCACCTGTGGATCACAATTAAAGTTTGTAGCCTACTGGTTGCCTTTCTTGTCTTGTACAAGATTGGCACGAGTTCAAGCCCTCGCGGTGACGATATCATTTTTGACCGCGAGTTGGACTTCTGTGGGGTGGACTTGGATCCGCGACTTGGGCTTCATCTACGCGAGGAAGCTGAGCGGGTTTGAATGGGCTTGGCGGGAGGCTTAACGAAGCGGGCCAGGGGAAGGGAGTTTGGAGATGATCCGCGAGTTGGGCTCACGCATGCTAGTTGTGCGGGGCGCGAATTGTGAGGCGGACCGGACCTTGTGAGACGCGGTTTGAGGCGGCTGGCGCGAGTCCATGTAGTGGTGCAGGCTGGGGACGCGAGTTCGGACCTCTGCGTGGGCCTAGTTATGCGGGCCGCGTGGCAAAGCTTGAGACGGAGCGGGACTGGTGGCGTGTCGTTAGGCCGCGTGACGGATAGCAGGCTTGGGTGGGTAGAGTGACGCGAAGGAGCATGAAGAGGTCCCGCGGTGATGGGCTGGCCCATCTTCGGTGAATTGGCCGCGGGTTAGAATTGAGGAGGTTTAAAATAGCCCGTTGCACGTCCAAATCACAAGCAAGGTTGTAGCCTAGTGGTTGCTCTGCTTGTCTCCACAGGTTTGGCGCGAGTTCAATCTCTCGCGGCGACAAGAACTTCTTCTTCGCCGGAGATGGGTGGGTTCGTCGGAATCTGAGTCTGCTGTTTTTTTTTTTTTTTCTTGATGGACCTAGGCTGCCTAGGGACACAAAACCTCATTTTCTCCTCCATTTGGGTCCAACCTCATCAATTACAAATACCCACAGTCAGCTTCTCCCCACAAACAGAACTTGTTGTGCATTTGGAGATCTTGGATCTGGTTTTCCTCCTTTCCCTCTATTTGTATGCCGCCTATTTTGGATGTCGGGTTGGAGTTTTGGGGGAAATCATCGACCTTCATCTCTCTTTTCTTTTACTCGGCTGGCCTTCAAAGAATTTGGCAGCTGCTGTGGCGCTTAGTTGGAGAAGATTTTGAGTTCTTCCTAAAAACAATCAGATCTAGAACTTTTCTTTTTCTCCTTCCCAGCTTCGTCCCCATTTTTATTTTTATGCTGCAGTTACTGTCGAATGGTGTTGGGTCTTGAGATGGACGATCAATTTCCCTTCCCCCTTCGAAATCGAACGAACAGATGTTGAAATCAGCCCCACGGTGGGCGCCAATTGTTTGTACCTACTAGCTCGAGGCATGAACAATAATGATTGTTGTGTGGGTCGACTTGTCATCCGTTCGTCTGATCTCGTCGGGAAGGAAGAAACCTGTGAAAGAGCCGGGGTTGCCCCCGGATTAAGCTCCGACGATCAAGTCAGTATATTGTCGAATGAGTTGAGAAAATAGGTAGAGAGATAAAGTGTAGAGAGATATGGAAAGTGGAAAGTGAGGAGAGAGAAGAAGTCCCCTCCTTTGGGGGGGGCTTCAAGCCCTTATATACCTGTAGCGCGTATCGCGCATCGCCGATTGTGCGCCCTACTACTTAGTCTGTGAACGGAGTATTTAGTTACACCCCCAACAGATAATGATAGCTTAGTGCCTTAGTCTAATTTGTATCTTCTTTCAAAAGAAAAAAAGTCTACAAGTTTGTATCCAATTGTTTTTTGGCATTACTTGGTTATTACAGGTGGGATTAATTAGTTCAAAATTTTGTGCATATTATGTGGAAAATAACAATCGCGGAAGGAAAAGACACGAGATTTAACGTGGTTTCTCCAAAGATCAGGACTAGTCCACGGTGAGCATGGAGCTCACGAAAACTTCACTAGGGAAGCTGATTTAGCTAGCAGTCGCCGATATTGTTTTTCTCTAGGTTACCGAGAGCTACATCTCATATGGCTATTTATACCCTACTGCAAGTATCTTGGGTATTTAGTCCAATTACCAATAAGCACACAAAAATAAAACGTGTAATATACAAGTCCAATACTCCCACTCAAACTGAAGCATGAAGATCTCGAATGCCAAGTTTGGACAATAAGATGTCAAATTGCTCGTTGCCCAGAGCTTTGGTGAAGATGTCGGCCAACTGAAGGGTAGTCCCAATCTTTTGCGGCAGGATGTCCCTCGAAGCGACATGCTCACAAACAAAATAGCAGTCCATCTCGACATGCTTGGTGCGCTCGTGGAAGACAGGATTGGCGGCGATATGAAGGCCAGCCTGGTTAGCTCAATAGAGCCGGGTAGGAAGGGGTTGCGGAACCTGCAACTCCTAAAGAAGAAGCCGCAACCAGAGAATCTCGCTAGAGGTACTAACTATCGCACGATACTCGATCTCTGCAGACGAGCGAGCGATGACAGCTGCTTCTTGGCACGCCAGGAAACAGGGTCGCCGCCTAGGTGGATGAATTAGCCAGTGGTAGAGCGTCGACTAAACTGACCAATCCACATCACTGTAAGCTACTAGCTCGAGTGGACCAGCATACGGCAAAAAAAGACCCCGACCAGGTGCGGCCTTGACATAACGCATGACACGATGAGCAACGGCCATATGTGCATGACTCGGAGAGTGAACGAACTGACTGGGGAGATTGACTGAATAAGCAATATATGGACGTGTAATCGTGAGGTAAAGCAGACGACCAATAAGACGTCTGTACGAGTAAGAGAGTGGTTCTGCTCCATTGGAAAAAGACTCGGTCGAGCGGCAAACATGCCAGCATCAGTCAGGATGTCAAGGGTGTACTTACACTGACAGAGAATGATGCCCTCAGGAGTGCGGGCGATCTCGATCCCTAGGAAGTACTTCAAGGGAC